TGTCTTCAGGGATATTTATATCTTATCTAGGATTGTGACCAAATTATTCCCACTTAAACCCGTGTCTTTTAGTTTTTTTTTGTTTTTGAATACATCTTCTTTGCATATCGCCTTTGAATATTTTTTAGGATAGCATATTTTGAAATACCTTTTTAATACTTAAAATCCTATACCCCCCCCCACCATAATTTCTAATCGCACACCATTTTTTTTTTTTTGTTCAATTGCTCATCAACCACCCAACATTTGAAATCGCCCCCGGTAGGCGATATCGCCAAGTTTGTTAAACCCTGGCTTACAGGAATGATCTGCTTTATACATATTCTCTTCTTCTTCTATGCACCTTGAGCTGAAGGGATATGTGTGATCATGGCTCTCCACAACTGCTTATCCTTTGTAGCTTTTAATAAGTTTTATGCTTTTTTTTATTACTGTATAGACTTGACTATAGAATGAGTTTTAATGATCAGAAAAATCCTATATCGCAATCCAAATTTTTTGTTTAGTTGCTGATCGCCCACCCAACAGGTGAAATCGCTCACCCAACAGGTGAAATCGCCCACCGGTGGGCAACATTACCAATGATAGGAAACCCTGGCTTACAGGAATGTTCTGTTTTATACATGTTCTCTTCTTCTTCTATGTACCAATAACCCCTTGCATCTTAGTGTCATTATCGTCATCTTGTGTCTTCCTAAAACATGTTCTTTTATTGTCATCTCTCCTCACTAAAGTCTTCTCATTCTCTTTCAATCCCAGTAACCCCTTGTGACTTCGTGGAATTATCGCCATCGTTTATCTTCCTGAAACCTATTCTTTTATTGTCATTTCTCCTCACTAACGTCTTCTCATTCTCTTTCACTTCCAGTAACCCCTTGTGTCTTATTGGCATTATAACCATCTTCTGTCCTCCTGAAATCTGTTCTTTTATTGTCCTTTCTCCTCACTAAAGTCTTCTCATTCTCTTTCACTCCCAGTAACCCCTTGTGTCTTAGTGGCATTATCGCCATCTTCTGTCTTCCTGAAACCTCTTCTTTTATTGTCCTTTCCCCTCACTAATGTCTTCTTATTCTCTTTCACTCCCAGTAACCCCTTGCGTCTTAGTGGCATTATCGCCATCTTCTGTCTTCCTGAAACCTATTCTTTTATTTTTCTTTCTCCTTACTAAAGACTTCTCATTCTCTTTCACTAACATTAACCCCTTGCGTCTTGGTGGCATTATCGCCTTTCTTGTGGTGAGTTGATTCAAAATAATATACTGGACATAGTAAAGCATACAGCAAACTAATTTGGACGTGGTGACATAGTAATGAGACAGACTTCGAACTTTGAATGATGGGAAGTTGTGGACAGCCATATCTTGAAGTGGCAAGGTATATAAAAGAAAAACATGTCGGGAGGAAAAGGATCAAGAAAAAAAATGGAAAACTGAGAAGGATAGATCGAATTATACGTGTCTGCTGCCAACAGAAGAAGAAAAATCTTCATTGCTAATAGCCTATGAGCTGCCTTTCAAAGAATTTTTCGGTTTTGGAAGCGGTCGCTTCGGAACGGGTCGGGTAAGGTCTTCAGATGACACAGGGGAAAAAAGGTCAGCAAGTGCTGCTAGGCAAAATGATATCTGGTGCGAATTATTTTGAAATGCTTGGCACGAACAGAACTTCTGGAAAGATAACGTAGTTAAACACACACACACATATCGTATGACAATAACGATTTTATGACAAATCTTATGACAATAACTATTTTATGACAAATATTATGACAATAACAATTTTATGACAAATCTTATGACAATAACAATGTTATGACAAATCTTATGACAATAACTATTTTATGACAAATCTTATGACAATAACTATTTTATGACAAATCTTATGACAATGACAATTTTATGACAAATCTTGTGACAGTAACAATTTTATGACAGTTCTGATGACAATAACAATTTATGACAAATCTTATAACAATAACGATTTTATGACAAATCTTATGACAGTAACAATTTTATGACAGTTCTGATAACAATAACAATTTATGACAAATCTTATAAGAATAACGATTTTCAAGTGACGGCAGATGACAAAATATGTTTATTTAAAAAAAAAAAACATCGTCGAAGAAAATCGCAGTAATGAAAACTTGAGAATCCCAAATTTCAGGTTTGCTGGTCCGGATCAAGCTCGGAATGTTTTTAATTTGCCCAGAGAGTTGGTCTGATTTAAAAATGGTGTGATATGTTGGGATACCGTCTACAGAAGTAAAGTTGAAAACACGGACACTTACTGTAATATGAGAGCAGGAATCTTTTCATTTGAACATGAGCTATTGAAAGTTAGAGAGTTGTCTCCCTTAAATTGTTTTATCAACAGAAGCCAAGATGGACCCGAAAACAATCGCAGTAATGAAAATTTGGGAATCCAAAATTTCACGATTGCGGGTCTGGATTCGAACAGGAATGTTTTTTAATTGACTCACAGAGTTGGCCTTATTCCAAAATGGTATCATATGTTGGGCTATAGCATCTAGGAGTAAAGTGGAAAATGTGTGACACACTGACATTCACATTTATTATATAGATGTGTTTGTGTGTGCATGTGTGCGCGTGTTTGTGTGTGTGTGTGTGTGTGTGTGTGGTCATACCTATCTATCTATATTAAAATCTGTCTATCTACTATAATCTTTTAATCTAACCTTGGTTTGCAGTAGTACCACTGATTTGTATTCTGTCAGACCATTTTGTCTCTGTGTAGATCTTTTGGTGGATTTTATCTGTAAAGGTCAAAACTAATGGAACTTAGAAATGTAGATCATCAGAACGGAAACAGCATATTATAAGAATGTTTTTGTGAGATTATAACGTTTTAGTAAGAGAAGACTCAATAATTAACCCATATCTAGGGGCAGAAGAGGTGAAATCGTAGCTTTCCAAAGGATATTTTCACGTAAATGAATAAAAGAAATCCAACCCACATATCAAAGCTTACATCACCTGGTATTCCTAAAAGGTCACTCATCGATGTACTGACAATAATCCACGTTGCTTAACATCAGTGATCATAAGAGAAGACAAGACTTGAAGAATTTAAGTGGATGAGGAGCATCCCCTCAGGAGTATGTTCCACAAATCAATGGAACTTGGAAGAATTCGTATCAGTGGAACGACCTTCTTCCCAAAGATGCTTCTTAAATGTAGAGCTCTAGACTGGTGAATCTTAGGAATATAGATGATTAGAACGTTTTCAGATGGCGGAAAATAGATATTAGGTTGGAAAATAAATCATCCACAAGGCCGGGTAATAGCTTTTGAACTCCGTCAAGATTGAAATGTTAGGGTTGGGTAGTACCCACTTAGATACTCTTGTAAAGATAGAGCATGGCAGGTGAAGATTGTTCCGTGGAGGTATAAGGAGTCTTCCTTATTTCCAGTGTATGTAGATATGGAGTGTACATATATATATATATATATATATATATATATATATGTGTGTGTGTGTGTGTGTGTGTGTGTGTGCGTTGGTGGGTGGGTGTTTGTGTTTGCGTCATGTGTTTTATGTTTAAAAGAATAAAATTGAGAAACACAAACAGAAATTAATTAACTCAAATTAATACGCGCTTTTTTTATATTGATTTTTTAAATCAATTCACATCAAAATAAAAGTGGTAAAATCACTATGAAACAAGGGGATACTGAGAGTGAAAAAGAATGAGAAGACTTTAGTGAGGAGAAAGGACAATAAAGAAGAGGTTTCAGGAAGACAGAAGATGGTGATAATGCCACTAAGTCGCAAAGGGGTTACTTTTCCATGAAAGAGAATTCAGAATACTTTAGTGAGGAGAGAACAATAAAAGACAAGGTTTCAGGAATACAGAAGATGGCGATAATGCCACTAAGACGCAAGTGGTTTTGGGAGTGAAAGAGAATTAGAAGACCAAAGATGAGAAAGGACAATAAAAGAAGATGTTTCAGGAAGACAGAAGATGGCGATAATGCCACTAAGATGCAAATAACTGGGAAGAAAGTGAATGAGAAGAAAATTATGAGGAAAAGGACAATAGAAGAAAAGGTTTCAGGAAGACAGAAGATGGCGATAATGCCACTAAGACCAGGGGTTACTTTTCCTGAAAACATTAATGAGAAGACTTTAGTGAGGAAAAAGGACAATTAAAGAACAGGTTTCAGGAAGACAGAAGATGGCGATAATGCCACTAAGACGCAAAAATTACTGGGAGTGAAAGACAATGAGAAGACTTTAAATGTGGAGAAAATTTCAAAGAACAGGTTTTCAGGAAGACAGAAGATGGCGATAATGCCACTAAGACGCATTCATTTAAGGGTGAATAATATGAGAAGACTTTTTGATAAGAAAGGACAATAAAAGAAAAGGTTTCAGGAAGACAGAAGATGGCGATAATGCCACTAAGATACAAGGGGTTACTGGGAGTGAAAGAGAATGAGAAGACTTCAGTGAGGAGAATAGACAATAAAAGAACAGGTTTCAGAAAGTCACAAGATGGCGATTGGTGTTGAATTTATATCTTTCAATATTTTAGGCGGAAAGAAAGCAAGAATTCCAAAGTGTTTTTCACAAGCGAGAAAAAAAAAAAGTTTTAGAATAGGACATACGGTTGCATGTAGCTAGTTAATAATAAAGCGATGGGACTTAATTTCCTGTCTAGTATAATGCTTCAATACTGTCGAGGCACCAATAAGGAAAGCTTATCAGAACAATTGACTTGAAAGTATTTTTAGAAAAGGCTGAGGGAAGACACTCTCATCGGTGTGAAAGTGCCATACTCTCAGAAGTAATTATTTTCTTCTATTTCTTCTTCTTTTCCTGCTTTTTTTTTCATTTTTTCCTACATTTCATTCATCATAATGTCGATTTTTTTTCCAAGCGGTCTGCATTGTAAGTCCTCAGCAAACTCTATCGATCCTGAGGGAATTCTATTGCCACTGGAAATATAGATTTCTAATATCGCTTTTTAATTTTTATAAGTAATCTCTTTTTTCTTTCTATAATACGCGTAGATTTGTCTATGGTAGATGTTAATCGGCTGTCATGTAAACCGGTAACTCAGCAGCGCATTATCCCAGAATAAATGCCATAGCAATGGAGACCAAGAATCTTTGATCGATTGTTGCCTACGATCGGCTTTCTTTCTTTCTTTCTTTCTTTCTTTCTTTCTTTCCTTCTTCTTCTTCTTCTTCTAATTAAATGTTTCCTCTTCTTCTTTTTCTTTTTCTATTTTAGCGATACTAATTCTTCTACTAAAGCTTTTCTTCTTTTATGTATTCGCGTCTTTTTCTATTTAAGATTTCCTTCTATTTAAGCGTTTCATATTCTTCTTCTATTTAAATGTTTCTTCTTCTTCATCATTTTCTCCTTCTTCTTCTCCTTCTTCTTCTTCTTCTTCTTCTTCTTAAGCGTTTCTTCTTCTTTTCAAGCCTTTCTTCTTCTTCTTCTTCTTCTTTCCTTCCTTCCTTCCTTCCTCCACTATTTCTTTCTCCTACACCCACCCTTTCTTCTCCTTCTTCTTCTCCTTCTTCTTCTTCTTCTTCTTAAGCGTTTCTTCTTCTTTTCAAGCCTTTCTTCTTCTTCTTCTTTCCTTCCTTCCTTCCTTCTTTCCTTCCTTCCTCCACTTCTTCTTTCTTCTTTAAAAATTTTTCTTCTCCTTCTTCTTCTCCTTCTTCTTCTTCTTCTTCTTCTTCTTCTTTCCTTCCTTCCTTTCTTCCTTCCTCCACTATTCATTCTCCTACACCCACCCTTTCTTCTTCTTCTTATTCTTCTTCTTCTTCTTCTTTCCTTCCTTCCTTCCTCCACTATTTCTTTCTCCTACACCCACCCTTTCTTCTTCTTCTTCTTCTTCTTCTTCTTCTTCTTCTTTCAACATATCCCCATCTTTTTTCTTTTATGCCTTAACTCCTTATACTTCTTCTATCTTCACTCTCTCTCTCTCCAGCTTTCTCTTTTTCTTTCTTTCTTTTTTTCTTTATTTATTTACCTATATATTTCTTTCTTCTCTTTCTTCTTTTCTTCAAGTGTCTTCAGTTTCTTCTTTCTCTTCCTCCTTTTAAACTAACTTTTCGCCTTTCTTTTCTTCTTTTACTTCTATTTAAACTTGTACTTCTACAATTTGCATGTTTTGTTTTGTTTTTTTCAGATTTTATCTTCAACTTCATTCAAAACTTTTTTTTTATTATTCGTCTTCTTCACGAATTTCATTTTTTTCTTCTTTTGTCATCATCTTCATCGCCGTCTCCATTTTATTCTTTTTAAGCCTTTTTCTTCTTCCATCTTCTCTGCCTCCGCCATCTTTTTTTCTTTATTTTTCTTCTTTTTCTTCCTTTTAACTTTTCTTCTTCTTTTTCTTCTCTCTTGGTTTTTCCGTCCACTTCAGTTATATACAGTGTTTTTCTTTTTTCTTCCTCATTTAAACTTCTTTTTTCTTCTTCTCCTTCTTCTTCCTTTTCTTCTTCTTTTACATAAATTTAAACTTCTTCTTCGTCTTTTTCTTCATTTTCTTCTTTTTCTACAACTTCTTTCCTTTTCTTCTTCCTACACCTTTTCTTTTATTCTTTTCTTAATTCAATTTAAAATTCTTCTCCTTTTTTCTTCTAATACTACTACTACTACTACGATTACTACTGCTACTTCCATATTTTTTTTTCATTTTCTTATTTTTCTTCATTTTCTTTTTTTATTTATTTTGCCCCTTTCTTCTTCTTCTTCTTCTTCTTCTTCTTCTTCTTCTGTATTCTACTCCATGATTTTATCGCTACCATAAGCTGATCATTCCAGCAGAAAATTTAATTGTTCTCTTTTTCCAACGACTTCAAACTTCCCAAAATCCTTATTTGTATTTACCCACTCACGTAAATAGATTTGACCTTACAACAAACAACCAGTTTAAATCTTTGCGATTTAATCTGTCTTCTCCTAATCCCTTTCAGTAATATTGCCTCCAAAAAGACGCCATCTTTAATTCCACGCTTCAACATATTTTTTAAGATTCGCGTTTTGTCGTAAATAAACCAATATATATATTTATTTAAATTCCCGTTACTTTTTATAAGATTACATTAACGTTGGTAGGAATTAGGGTTAATTTTGGTTAGGTTTAGGTTTGGAGAAATGGTCTAATGTATTTAAGAGTTAGAGGAAGAAAATGGTGGCTATGTTTTCCTTTTCAGAAGAGACCCATACTTCCGGTAAAAACAAGATTCATTAGATAAAAACTAAAAGGATATTTAAAGACAATTTCAAATCTTAAATACATCGACAGTTGAAAATTTGGTGAGAAATGAACCCGTAAATGAAAAATTTGGCACTTTTGGACAAGCACTCGAAGACTTCATGTTTAAAATGTTATTAGATATAAGAATGTCGTGTAGTGGTTTTATGTCGGGATGTCACCAGTGTATATGGATGGTGGGATATCTTTACTGGATTCTTTGGGAAAAACGAACTGACTCAAGAGCATAAAAAATAATATATTTATATTTATTTGCTTTAAAGCGAGCCGTTTGGAATTCGGTGCAGCAAAATATTCGTTTATAATGCGGAACTTGGTTAGAAGCTTGTAGAAAGTCCGGAGGTGGTAGTTTTGAAGTAAGACACTGCTAAGGTTAGTAGTAATATTAAAAACAGGCCCGAGTTTTTCTCCGCTCTAAGCTGAGCAGAAATATCACTAGTTATATCTAAATTATTTCTTCACACGAAATTCATGCCTAATTTCTCTTGTCGTCCTCCCGCTTCTAGCTCAGAGATGTCAGCTTTGACCAGGCTCTGAGATTCTGGCGAGAACGTCGGTTTCGGCTAACATCAAAAGTCTCTTTGTGTTCATTTTTTTGATTGGCCAAAATTATTTCATTTTCTGGCCTTTCTTATTTCATATTTTTATGCCGGCGTGGAGCCTCTGTGAATTTTGGTAGTCTTTAGTCATAAATTAGTAGGCGCTCCTCCTGAAAACTTCCGCCATTTTTCGTCCGGGTTCAGTCTTCTTCTTCTTCTTCTTCCTCCTCCTCCTCCTTCTCCTCCTCCTCCTCCTCCTCCTTGGGGCTTGCATTCCTGTTAGTTGGAAGTACAGAAAGAGAACTTCAGACAGATAGAGAGAGGAGAAGAAAGCGAAATAAAGAGAGAGGGGTCTTAATTTTGATTTTAATTCTTTTTATTTTTCTTTATATATATTTTATTTTTATTTGTTTTTATCAGGACTCTACAAAAAAGAGAGCATAACAAATAAGTTGATTTTTTTTTTTAGATAATAATAAATTTGTGATACGAGTCTTACTAATTAACCCATAGCTAGTGGGAGAATAATTTGATAAACAAACAAGAAACTATAATGCGGATATAAAGTGGGAAATCAATTTTATATTAAAATCAGTATATAAACTGATCCCTCACTTTGTGGCCAACACAGTTCTTATACATTCATATTCCAGAGATTGCAAATAAATCTAAAAGACATGTTTGTGTAGCTAATCAGTATTTCATTGATTGATTTATTCGTTTTCTATGGCATATCAACAAGAAATTATGTTGTATATAAAGTGGGGATCAATTCTACATTACAATCAATATATAAACTAATCCTTCACTTTGTGGCCACGCTAGTTTCTATACATTCATATACCAGAGATTGTAAATAAATCTAAAAGACATGCCTGTGTAGCTAATCAGTATTTCATTGATTGATTGGTTTGTTTTCTACGGCTTATCAAAAACAAGAATTTATAATGTGGATATAAAGTGGGGGATCAATTCTACATTACAATCAATATATAAACTGGTCCCTCACTTTGTAGCTTCTATACATTTCTATTCTAGAGAATTTGAATAAATCTAAAAGACATGCCTGTGTAGCTAATCAGTATTTCATTGATTGATTGGTTTGTTTTCTACCGCTTACCAACAAACAAGAAATTGCAATGCGGTTATAAAGTGGGGGATCAATTATACATTACAATCAATATATAAAATGATCCCTCACTTTGTGGCCATGGAGTTTTTATACATTTATAGTACAGAGACTCTAAATAAATCTGAAAGACATGCCTGTGTAGCTAATCAGTATTCACTGATTCGTTTTCTACAGCTTATCAACATTTTGCAGGTTATTTAAAGCCACAAAATATTTTTGGATTGTAAGAATTTTTAAGATAATAATGACCTAGTGATACTTATGTTACTAATTAATCCATAGCTGGGGAAAAGAGGTGGATTCATACCAAATCAGCATTGATTAAACAAACAACAAATTATAATATGATTATAAAGTGGGGGATCAATTCTATATTACAGTCCGTAGTAGTTTCAATGATTTCACCATAGTCCTTAATAACTTCTGAATTGTGTTGTATGACTTCTTCACCACCTCTTTACTCAAATTATAGCACGACCTCATCAGAGTTTCTTGGGTATGAGATATTATGAAACATTGCTCTTCAATATTCTCAAATTCCATCATTATAAAAACAACGCTTTCACCACACTTAAAATTAATAAGTGTAGTAAAAAGAACTACACAGACAAGACGTATGTTCTTCGCTCCGTGAAAATCCAAAGTTGACGGTTTAATAGACTTCCCTTAACCACGAAATTCTTGGAACAATTATCAGCCCACATTTTAAAGAAATAAAATGAGAAAATAACACTAGAACATCTTTAACACATGTAAAATCAATATTGTAATTAACATCACGAAATAAAATACACATTCTTGTCATTAATTTCAACACGTGTCTCATAATCTTATTGTTGATTGATATTGTTGTACGTTGTATTCATTTCATTTTCACGGGGTAACTTACATTAATAACTCAACCTTCGCCCCCGTTACATGTTAATGGTGACATCAAACTTTTCGATACAAGAAACACTTGTCATTCATTTGCAGCACTGTTAGTGTCACTGTGATCTGAAGTTTACAAATTATTTCTCTTAAAACAGATTTTAGGGAAATAGCCTTCTCAATCCACTAACTGTTATAACTCTTTCTACAGGGTGTTCTTACAGAAATTTAATTGTTTATTTTAATTTTTTTTTTTTTTTAAAAAAAAAAAATAGAAATTTCGTAGCTTAAAACAGAGTAAAAAACACAAATGTTGGATGTGGTATCCAAACTAAAGAACTCTGGCAAAATATTTTCGCATTTTTTCATTGCCCAAGTTAGATGTTATTTCTTAAAGAGAACAATGCCCTCGCGTTGGAAATTTGATAACTGCGACATCCTGGAACATTAATGGTTAAAAAATTTATGTTAGATAATTTTTTTTTACTTCATTCATATAGTAAAATATATAGATATTTTTTTTTATATGTTAGTTATTTTTTTTTCGTTATACAATAAAATAAAATTTTTTTTTTTTTTTGTTTTGTGTTGTTTGTGTTGTGTGTGTTTTGTATTAATTTGTGTGTGTGTGTGTGAAACCAGTATTATATGTGTATGTGTGTGTGTGTTTGTGTGTGTTGTGTCATATATTTGTGTGTGGGTATTTATTTTATTGTGTGTATGTTTGTGTGTGTTTGTGTTCAAAACTTTGTGTTTGTTTGTTGTGTGTGTGTTTGTGTGTGTGTGTTTTGTGTGTGTTTGTGTGTGTGTTTTGTGTGTGTTTGTTTGGGTGTGTGTTTTTTTGTTTGTGTGTATGTGTGTATGTTTGTGTGTGTGTGTGTTTGTGTGTGTATGTATGTGTTTGTGTTTGTGTGTGTGTGTGTGTCTCTCTCTGCGTGTGTGTTTGTGTGTGTGTGGCATTCTAAAGATGTTCTCTGTTCCGTGAGGGTTTAAATAAAAAAATAAAAAATCAAGTTTAGTTGTCAAAAGAATGCCAGAACACCCAGGGTTTTGTCTATTTTCGGAACTCCGAACTAACGGAGCGTTAAAACAAAAAAGAGTTACCCCTTTTTATTGAGATTTCTTTTTAAGAATCATTTTTGTTTTTGTTCCATATTCTTTTTCTAAGAGAACAATCACCTTTATTTAAAATTCCCATCCCTTTAAATGGTTAAAATAATATATATATATGGTTTGTTAATTTTTTGATCATTCATATACTCTAAAAAATTATTTTATATCATTTC